CCAGGGTTGCTAAAAATAAACTGTTAAACCATAGTCTGTGTTCTTCCTCATGTTCTTCGAGTCAGCATCCAACCACGAAGTCATTACCTCTCCCTCCCGGAGTTGTGTCCGAGACAGTTTCAACTCTGAAGACCAAAAAGAAAAGAGGGCTTTTTGTTCCTCACCAGACTTTGTCCTCCCGTTGACTTATGAAGCTCACGGGAGGGAAGCTCACACTCTTTCCCAGAAAAAAACACACATGCAAACATTCACCAACGATGATTTCGTACTGTACATTCATGCTTCAAGTGTAAAAATGCACTTTCCATACATAGAGAAACCTCTTACATGACTATATATCATAGCAATAGAAATGTCTATCACAGTTAGGAGGATGGCTTGTGTTTGCCCTGTTCAAATGATCTAAGCTATTTTCACAATGTGTCACCATGTGGGAAATCTTTATATATAAAAAATAACTCATCTGTGACTGAGATATAATGAGACATTTTTAAGAAATGATTTGTGTTGTATGTTTCTATGCGGTAATCAGGGAGAAGTTATCGGTCATTTCTGACCAAAGTGTCTGATGGGTAATATGTTGAGGTGTTCTGTTGTATATTTTGTATATAACCATTATTCTATGCGTAACCTCGCTAGTTTGCAGATTCTCTGATATGTAAATTAAAGTTAGTATTGTATGATGTCACACATAATAGATTTGCTCTACAGACTGCAGAGACGGCAGCATTTGAACCATGTGTTCTGAGTATAAGCTTTTTATTTGAAGATATATAAATAAAATAAATGTATTGTCAACTGACTGCATCACCTTGTGAATATTTTGTAAATGTTTTATGGTTAAAACATAGGGTACCATTATTAAAATAATGTTATATACGTAGCATCCTTCCTTGTGCTCATCTTTCTTCATTTTCCTCCTTGGAGTAGTAGAGTCTACTATCAGCATCACCGAGGCATACTGTGGGGCCGTAGCCTAGCAACAGAGGGAATCAGCCAATCACGTGGCGGCTTCTGAGAGCCATTAGGAGCTTTATTACTAACAAGAAACATCACTTGATTTTTGAGTGTGTGATAATAAGTAAATGTGATTTCCAAGAGTGGCACGCTTCAATAAAAACGAGGTGACGGACACAGGGAGTTTTCTTGGAGCAGAGATGGCAAGCACCCACAGGGAGGGAGGTTATGAACTGAACTGGTTTCTGTTCAGAGATATATGCAAATACGACACTGAAAAGACAAGTTGTTCAGTGGGTGTATCTGGGACCTACGCATGCAACGTCTCTGGAGGTGAATAGTCAGGGTTCTAGACAGAACAAGGAGTCCTCACCACTGCTATCAGCACCAAGTCTGGGAAAATCAAATTAGGATAAATGTTTGGGAACATTTTCCTTCAACAGTGTCTGTAACCGTCAGAAGCTGAGCGCAGAAATAAAATGGACAGATACACTCTTTGTATGTAGGTCATTTAGATACTGCTGACAAACACATACTTTTTCTACGCAGCAGAATAGCACAGATCTGTATTCCCTACAAGTACTAATGGTTGACCCCCCCCCCATCCCCTTTGTGTAGTATGAGTTCAAATTCTCAAAAGAATCAGTGACTCAGTGAAACATGAAAAGAAAATTGAACATGAACTAAAAGCTGCGCTCTGCCCTCCTTTAATGAAAACACAGCAAAACTGTTATTCTCAAAGCTGCACCAGAAAAAAATGCAGAAACTCAGTGTCTGTCATTTCTATTCATGTTGAGGGCTTCATACGCCATCTACCGGACAGGACGGTAACAGCAGAGACAACATTTTGGCAATGACTGTATGTTTAGACACTGTGACTAATACTTCAGTTGAAGTTCGACTGAGTAATAGATTTTAACTTTAATTATTTTTCTTGAACCATTTTCTTTTACTTTAAACCCCACGCTTCATATTTATTTATTTGTTGCTTTTATTTGAAAGGGACCTTTTACAATTAAAAACAATAATGTCCCCATCTAATGAACTGTACCACATTACAAAGATGGTTCACATCTGCAGTACCTCAGCAGGTCAGAATAAAAGACACCACAGCAACATGACACAAGGCTGTACAAAGATGAACACACAATAATTAAGATAATAAGATAAGATAATCTTTAATAGTTCCAAAGTTGGGAAACGCTACAGCAGCAAGAGGGCAGTCAGGAATAAACATCAGTAAAGTCATAATTAGTAGCATGCCATACTTAAACTCATGTCTGTATGTAATAAGAAAAATATCAAGTATAAAAGTGGAGTAAAAACTAATATATACATAGTAAACAGGATATGTACAGTGAAATGAAGTGCACATTAGCCATTGAATTTCACAGACAGAAATGAATATTGCACAGTTAAAAAATGAATCTGGGTTAAAATGCAGAAGTCCATTTAAGGTGCGTTTTGAGGTGCGTGTGCTCTACTGGGAGCAGAGCTGGTTGTACAGTCGTACAGCTGCAGGAACGACCTGGGACACCGCTCCTTGGTGGATCAGTCTGTCGCTGAAGGAGCTGGCTCAAGGGGGTGTCCCAGGACGGAGCTGGCCCTCTAATCAGTCTATCCAGTCCCTTCCTGTCAGCTGTTGAATTGCTGCTGCCCCAGCACACTATTCCAAAGAAGATGGCCGATTCCAGAACAGAGTCAAACTTTACTTATATATATAATTCAACACATGTTCAAATTGCAGATGTTAACCTTTGAAACTACACAAATGGCTAAACTCTTTGTGATAATACATCTGATCTGCTATCACCTATGAAAACGTGGTGGTGATGTGTTTTCTCATTTTTTAATTTCTGTCATGTAACTGGTAAAAATATAAAAAATATTTTCCAATTCACTGTAACATATATAAACAGGCCCTATGACTTTGTTCTCTGTGTGAGTTAAAAGAAAAACATACCTGCTCATTTCAGGGTTTGTAGTGTCACTTTATTTTTCAGCCTAAACTATAAAGATTCATTTTGTTATTATCTTTAAAGTTTAGTTGAAATGTCTTTGGTGTTTCCCACATGTTTTGAATCTGGTGCTGTTGGTTTTAGTTTTAGTGTTGAACAAACATTTAAAATGTTCATATTCATTGTGTTTACCTTGAAAAAAGTTATTGGACAAGAAGGTTGGGACTGAGCCGTGACTGTGGATTATGTGATGTCCTAAATATCATCTCACTCACGTGATTTAAAGCAAAGAGGCAAACGGCAAAAAAGTATATAACACATTACTGTGTCTGAAACAGTGTCACCACACAATGATTATTTCACTGTCTTCTGCTGTCATCTAGTGACCACAGGAAGGAAGGGGAAAAGAAATGTATTGATTTATAAAATCAGTAAAGTTTATCATGGATGCTGCAAAACCTTTAAGAAGATTCTTGGGATTTGAAGACATTATAATTATTTTTTTTTTTAAATGATGATGCTAATGAATCAATGACCATATAAAAATAATGTGACATTGAAATGGGTCACTAAGAATTACAACCTGAATCTGCTGCTCTCACTCACTTAAAGGTCCAGTGTGTAAGATTTAGGTGAAAGGGATCTATGAGATATTGAATACAAAATAATCCTAGTGATGTTCTCTCTATGTTTTCACTAATGTGTTATTATCAAATTTATCTGAATTTGTTGTTTTCTTTACCCTAGAATGGACCTTTATATTTAAATACTTTATATTACATCAGCAGGTCCTCTCTACAGAGGCCGCCATGTTTTTTACAGTAGTCCAGACTGGACAAACTAAAACCTTTTGAGTTTTTATGACGACTGAAGAACAGGTTCTCTGTCATGTTTGGAAGGAGAGGGTGAGGTGTACTTGTTAAAGTCCACTTAAGCTTTCTTATGAATAAGTAGATAAATAAATGCTAGATGTGCAGCTTACTAAACAGTGCCTGCAGGCTTTTCTTCATTCTTTCAATCATTGTATCTTGACATTTGACACCAGTCCTTTTTAGTTGTGGTCTTCTTCATTAGTATATATTTCCTAAGGTGCCCACAGCACAAGTCGTGCTTGTTGGGGTAAATAAATGAGACACCGAATTTATGATTTTAAACCATTTTTACTAGAGTATAGATTTTTTTTCCAGGCAAACATTATAATTAGTGTATATCTTTAGTTGTGGACAGCTAATTGCACAACCGTAGATTAGTGCCAGTAATGGTCTGACTTATACAAGAAGAACAAGATCCAACGTGGGGAATGTTTCCAGTCAATCTCATTATTACTGCTTATAAAAGTAATGTGTTCGCCATGAAGTTCTTAACGTTCATCTCATTAGTCTGGAGTAACTCTTACTAAACCAGTCTGATACACAAAAGGTATGATGGCAGAAGTTAGTTAGACCAATTTTGTAACTGAAAATGTATATTTATTTCAGACATTCTATAAGAACAAATTCACAGTTGGAGGGTTGTTGTTTGTGCTTTAATAATAGAGTCTAACAGTGTCGTAATCCCTAAATATCCATATATCTGTGTCTCTTTCCTTCAAACTGGAGCTGAAGAGTAATGCAATGCATATGTAATTTAATGTCAGTCCTGTGAGTCTTTGGTTAGCACTAGGATGATTATGTGACCTGGAACACTGTTGACAGGGTCAGTGCCAGCAAACACACATTAATCACACCCCTGTTCGGTAGCAGCGGTGGTACAGTCTGGCTTTCTGTCAGTGTGGTGGGAATATACCTGGACACTTCTCGAACGACCTCATTGGACCGAGGACGGGGGTGGCGAGGGATCAGGGTTAGAAGGAGATTAACCACATGGAGGCCTATAAAGCTTCAGTGTAATCTGCACGCTGCAGACAGATCCAGAGCAACAACTACTCTACAAACGTTTTACTCGTAGCTCGCATCTTTTAGGATCAAACTTTGCCTATCAGATTTGGCATTTTAAACAATTATATATTACAAAACCATCAAGTATAGTGACTGCAGAGTAGTTTTATCAACACCAGAAACATAAAGGAGGAAAGAGGGAATAATCATGAAAAAGGGAAAGGTATGTTTTTCTTCCTTATGGTTACACTTTAAACTGTACAGCTACTGGGAACAATAAAACTGTGGTAACTGATGATCTTATATGGGTTTTTAATATTGTTCGACTGCTTTCTCTTGTAAAATGACAAGAAACGATTTGATTTGTGATCAATGACAATGAGTTAACATTTTCCCATGGTCCTCAAATGAGCACAGATAACAGATTATAAATTGATGCTAGAAATTCGAATATTTTTTACGCCTCTCCTTCTGTTTCTGAGAGGAAACTCTTTTAATGGCGTCCTCATATCACAAGTTCAAAATCATAGAATCAACAATCAATCAATAATCACAGTGTGAAATTGTTCTTTGAGGGATCTTTGTTTTCTCTGTAGATGAACTGAAGTATAGTCTATAGTCGGTGCTGGTTATTCAAACATGGAGTCTCATCACATTTATGCTAATCCTCTGAACTCATCAAACATGGAGGCTGTTTTGTAGACACATCTGTGACTGTGCTGCCTCCAGTAAAATGATATATTATATATATATATTTACACTGTGTAGAGAAAGTAAAGAGAGCTGATTAATAAAAACTGTGATGAGCCAGTTAACCCTGACTATATCCCAGCAGGTCAGCGAAGACAATGAGCCCCCCACTTACCAGGAGGCCACAGCAGGTAAAACCAATGTCCTTGTAGTACTACTATTCTATTAGTTACAGATGTACCGACACTGATCATCTTTTTCTAGTTTTACTAGATAAACTAGTTTGAGTTGAAGTAGAAGGTGAAACTAAATAATTAATAATATTGTAATAGAGCACTATATTTATGTTTACAAGCTGTGTTGTGCAAATCTGCACATTTACGAGCAAAATATCAATTTGTACCAGTCAAACCTGAGTCTCACATGATGGCCTCGGTTTTTCCACTCCCATATAACATATTCTCAGTTTCTGCAAAGATGAAAGAATTGACACATGTCCCTCCTGCGTCTTCCTTCAGGATATGAGGAGATGCAGGCTCAGTTCTCCTGGGATGACAAGACCATCAGGCGGACCTTCATCAGGAAGGTATTGGAAAATGATTTATGAACAGAAATGAGACAAACAGAAAAGTACATGTCACAGTGACGCATCCATCCATGACATCATAAATCTCCTCCTGCAGGTTTACGCCATTCTCATGGTTCAGCTTTTCGTGACTGTGGCTATTGTTGGTCTCTTCACATTTTGGTAACTATTTCTTATTATCTGTAACATTACTTTAATATAAGTCTCACTCTGACCAGTATGTTTTTACTTAATTAATTTGTTAAATGTCTTATGTCTGCAGCGCCCCTGTGAGGTTTTATATTCAGACTCATCCTGGCTTGTACATGGCATCTTAGTAAGTGCAAACACATCTCTTAACTCACAGCACATGACACGTTATATTTTCCACCTTTTAATTTACATTTTCTTTCCTCCACTTTTCAGCATCATGTTCTTCTTCACCTATATTGCACTCTCCTGCTGTGGAGATCTGAGGTAACACTTCTGTGTATTATAAACAACCACACAACAAATACTTATGAAACATAAAATAAAATATAAGTTTGATTTTGTCCCTAAACAGGAGGCAGTTTCCCTGGAACATCATCCTTTTAGTTTTGTTTGTGAGTATCTCACAGAATGAAATATGGAACATTATATAACATAGTCTGCATACAAGCTAACGATGGCTTTCTTCCTTCTCCACCGCACAGACTTTGAGCATTTCTTTCATGATGGGTTTTGTCTCAAGGTAAATACACATACTACAATATAGGATATATGATTTTAGATAAAAACAACTTTATTAATATATATGTTCTCCCTTTAGCTTTTACAACACCAAATCAGTGATGCTGTGTCTGGGAATCACGGCTCTGGTGTGTCTCTCTGTCACCATCTTCAGTTTCCAGAGCAAGGTGAGAAGAACCATTCATTAATTATCACTGATTAAACTGCTTTCACGCAACAAAGCAGAGAGACGTCCCTCACACGCTTTTGCTTTTGTTGCAGATTGACGTCACATCGTGTCAGGGCGTCCTGTTTTCTTTGTGCATGGCCATGCTTCTCTGCGCCATCACCATCTCCATTGTGGTCCCCTTCGGATATGTAAGTCCTCCAGTAGGATCTGGAAGATGTCTAAAATAGCAGTGATTAATCATGAGTTGAACAACAGTTGCAGGTTAATACCTCAGGAGCTGGCTGTATTTGGCTGTGCGTAAAGGGATTAGCCCTGCAGATCATCTTAAAAAGCATGTTGCTGTTTCTTGAATTAGCACCCTGCTATCCTTCTTAACTCGCTTTTTGAAATGCTTTTCGTCTCATTACACAGGTTCCCTGGCTACACGCTCTTTATGCTGTGGTAGGAGCCATCCTCTTCACTCTGGTGAGAGTCACATACTTCATCATTATAGAAACTACAGTACATAAGTCTGCCAATGCCAACAGTACCCTTATGAAACCACATTTAAATTCACAAGATCCAGATTTTTATTTAGATCTGCATCAAATTGCACAGACTCACAGTCCCCTACATATGCCTGATTTTTTTCTTATTTCATCCAGATCCATGAATTATTCTGTGATAAATCAAGGAAAATGAGTCAAACCATTCTTTATCACAATGTTAAAGACAGTGAAAAAGTAAAGATTCTTGGATCGGCACCAAAATTAAATGGGGCTTTTCCTGTCCCACTCTGCATCCTTCCACCAAGTTTCGTTGCAATCCGTAGTTTTTCTGTAACCTTGTTCACAATCAAACAAGGAAACCATGAAGGACAGGGGTGAAAACATAACCTCCTTGGTCATCCTGCCTTTTTGTCTAATTTAATTCTGTCTCCATCTCTTTCTGTGACAGTTCCTGGCGTTCGACACTCAGATGCTGTTGGGGAACAAGCGTTATTCCATAAGTCCAGAGGAGTATGTTTTCGCCACCCTCAGCCTCTACCTGGACATCATCTACCTGTTCAGCTTCCTGCTGCAGCTCATGGGAGAAGGCCGCGGGTGAAGAACATCTACTGGTCAGCTGAACTATTTCAAACTCTCAGGCGAGCAAGGATCTGTTACTCTCATGCTAAACAAGATGTCGGGTTTATTACAGATGAATCATCATTTCCAATTTTATACATGTGTTAGAGCTGATAGGAGTGAGAGTAATCTGTTAGTTTGCTTTTGGTTATGTAATCTCGCCTGTACAATCCTGCAGCTGGTTCTGTCCTGACATGATCCACATCATAGCTCACTACTTGTTCACTGTACTCTGGATGAGCCTGTTAATCTGGTTTTGTGCTGGTTTAGAAGCAGCCACAGTCACAGAGTTGAGTAAGATCTGTTTCCTTGGCTGCATCTCTCTGTTTATCTCCGTTACTAAGCCAGAAATGAAGACTCAGGAAATCTGCAATTTGAAGCTCAGCAGGATTGAGTTCATTCGAAAAAACAAGTTTTACAAGCTGCGTAGATGAGGTTCATTTTATACTTGTTTTTTATGCACAGTGTCACAGAATGTGTGTTTTAAAAGGTGTGTGTGAGAGAGAAAGACAGAGAGAAATATTTACATCTAACTTCCAGACGTAAAGCCAACAAAATCCAACTACAAAGGGAAAATGTGTTTATTTCAGCATACAGTAGTTCTAGTCATTAAAGCTAGGGTTGGCAATCCTGGAAAAGCCAGCAAATGCAGGCTACAATTTGAAAATATGAAACCGATATATCCCACCCCCTTCCATCGGCCCTCTCGTCAAAGCTACGCCCCCAAAACGCATGAACTGCCAGAAGCCTGACTATCATCTCTGCTTCAGCGGTGCATGTCTCTCCAGACAGACAGGTTCACCAGCCAATCATTTCATTTGGTTCACATTAAATGATTGGTCGTGTTTATTACTTAATCTAAAACCGTTCCGCTTTTTTCCCCTGACAAGTTTATGTATTGATGACCATGATCGGGATGTGGTGAGGATTTCAACAAATAAAAAAGTGTTTCAGAAAACATTACCAACCCAACCTTTAATGATCAGCTGCAATTCTTCCTTGATGTAACTGTGGCCTTTGGGATGTGTTAGAAATTAATTTCACGATAACAAGCTGATAATCAGAGTTGAAATATTAGAAAATGTTTTCCTGTGTAGTGAATTTACCTGGACATATGATAATATTTTTATAAGGAAAATGAGCTGTGAACACTTAATTCTGTCATTATTAAAATAAAACTGATTCATGAACAGCTGTGTTTCTGGCCTGCATGTGAAGGATGATGATCACTGTTGTTCTGTATTGTGACATTTAAACTTCTGAGCAGCTCTGTACCAAGTCTTCACAGAATAACATTAAGTGTTAGGGTACAGATGGGAAGCCACAGGCAGATTTTTGTTTATTGCATCACAACAAGAATGTCCTGGCTTTGACTCCACCCGTCTCTTCACGCCTCTCAGTGGAGTTTGTATTTTTCCTCGCAGTCTGGATATCATGTTCTCCACAAAGGCCAAAAACATGTTTCTTGAGGTCGTGGTGACCCTGGCCTTCGACCAGGAAATTCTCATCAGGACATGTTCGAATCTAAGCGAACATTTGTGCCATATATGAAGAAATTTCCTCAATCCCATCTTGAAATATTGCATTCAAGAGGCCAAAAATATGATTCTTGGAGTCACAGTGACCTTGAAATTTCACCTTTAACCAACAAACTAATCCAGGAGTCCATGTGAGTATTTATGCCAAATGTAAACAAACTCCTGAGATATTGGACTCACGAGAATGGATGGACAGAGTAGATTGTAGTATTTCAGAGATTTGGAAAAGTGGAGTAAGTCCCTCTCCGTCTCCAGTAGTACATCCACCTACAACATATAAGGGGGTTCAGACAATTGGCTGGATATGATCCTACAGAGATTTAAAGACCAGGTACAGTTCAAATTATCTTAGAGTTTAGAGCGACATCTGGGTCAGGACCCATCATAGCGACTCACTCTGTCTGGGATTGCTCTCCATGCATCTCCTGTCCTAACACCACACCCAAACACACAAGCACTTACTGTGAACTTTCTATTCACCTCATCACCTGATGAGATGTTGAACTAATTCAGCACTTGGTTCTTATTTCAAGTTCTCCTACTGGACTGAAGTGTTCTTATCCCTCCATTGTAATTTACATTCAATCAGTGTCAAGCAATGAAGATACCCACCAGTAACACAGTGTTTAGTAGCTCAATTTGATGTTGCTCTCTAAAGGTCATAGGCTCTGAGGTTATTTCACCCGTCCATTCCTTTTTTGTTTTGTTGTCATCAGGATCACACAAAAGTTTAAAGGTGATGAAAAACACACTTCACCCGAGCATTGAAACAAGACTTTTATTAAAAAAAAGAAAGAAAAAAACAGACATATTCAAATTCAAAGAGAAAACCAAGAAAGAAGAAAAATCTTATCTCAATCAATAAAAAAACACAAGTTACAGACAATTTTAGCAACTCTGGCACAGGAAGACAAAAGAAGCCAAGTGGCTTTGCCAAATAACCAAATATCAAAACCTCTTTCCTCTAACAAAACTGTACAAAATGAGTTCTTGTATAAATAAGAAAACTGTTCACAAGCAGGAAGTGGGACGAGCCTGTCGCATTTTCAAAACGTCAGCGATTCACACAGAACTGGTTCATACAGTGTTGAGCAACAAGACACGTTTTTGGTATTTCCTGTTCAGAAAAATACTAATTTAACTGACCAATAGCATGATAATAATGAACTTTTCTACATATCAGTATGACGAAGGTATTATGTAAAGTAGAAAAAACGGTCACTAGTATCAACTAAATCAAAATGGAAGTAGACATTTTGAAAATCCAGACGTGGCAACATCTAACCACCTGCTTGGAAATCCTGTTTTAGCAGCAAAACATTTTGAAGCTATGAAATAAGCCGTCAAATCTACAACAAAAGAAATCATTTAAAATTGGTGTGGACCAAGAATAAGTGCAAGGAGATCTTCCTTTTCAAATATCTCGTACTGTCTATACAGTACACCACAGATCATAGTATCACTACAATCTACATGTAACTTAAGGTTCATTTTCATGATGCTAACTCTTTTTGGAGCATCGTGGTTTCCTTTTGTTTAGAAGTTTGTAAAAAAATAAAATAAAATAAAATAAATAAACACTGTATTGTAACAAGTGGTCATTTCATAGTTCCAAAATCCTGTTTTTGTATTAAAAGTGATGGCTAATACATGGAATATAATTTCTCTGAACATATAAACAATATCCATGACATTTTCCTTCATGGTGCACTGAATCTGAAATCTTGCTCGTCACTGTGTTATCTGGACAGGTTTTTAAATGATAAAAAAAAAATCAAGAAAACACACAAAAAGAATCAAACAGAATGGTGTCAAGAGAAAAAACAGACTATATACAAAATGAGCTCTCGTGTCAGAAATCTCTTATAAAAGCTGCGCTCTGTAGAAGTTCATAGTGAGTCTGTTTACATGCACTGCAACATTAACATGTGCTGAGGGCAACTCATGATTCTATTAATCCATGTAAACAAAACCAGATCATTTATTGAGTCGTTCATTTTGAACACCAGATGAAAGATTTTGATACGCCGTCATAATGTGAACTAGAGACCATCACAGCAGCTGAGCGGTGTTCCACGCCATGAACGCTCACTAATTTCTACTAAATGATCAACAGCCGCCACAAGATGGCTGGCATTGTTTTCACCATGTGTGTGTGTGTGTGTGTGCACTTGTGTGTCAACACCTACTGTAGCTGGAACTACCACGGAGGTTGTTTTACGTGGTGTAAATACGTTTGTTCTTCTGTCTGTGGACACATTTTCTCACAACCTCCCAGGTTTCAAATTGAGATCGAAATCAAAATCTGTCCATAGTGAGACAGACGTTTAAACAACTACCAAATACTAACTACGGTGACTGAAATAAAATAAAGCAAAACATCTTTTTCAAACATGCATCAAAACGACTTCTTGAAAACTGGTTATTTCTGGTGTATTTTCACATTACACCAAAGGCTTCAGATATTATTGCAGATATATGCTTCTAACGTAGTCTTTTGCTAAATACATTAATTTTCCAACACCACTGATGAGGACGTACTTGAACAACAAATACATCCCAGCCAGATTCATTTCATTTCATTTCACTTCCATTTTCCTCCAGCTCCTTTAGCTTGTGTCTCTATTTTGTTGTGTTGTGAGTCTTTGCTGCACGTGTTGTCAAATGAATGGAGATGTTTTCTTAGATGGCAGTTCCTGCTACAGTATTTGGAAAGGACTGGATTTATGTAGTGCTTTTCTAGTGTCATACACTGGAGGAGCCAGGGATCGAACCACCAACCAGATGGTTAGTGGACGACCCGCTTTCCCTCCTGAGCCACAGCTGGCCCCTACAGTGGATGTCTCCAGGACCATCACGATGACAGACCCACACAGACTCACATGATGAAAACAAAACAGAAATAAAAAATCACATGTCATATTGAGTGCATGTAAACACTCTTTCTGCAATCTTTCTCTTTCTGAATCCATCAGAAGTGAAAAAATGCATTTTATCCAGCGGCAGACGACAGACTGGTCGCCTGCGGATGAGAGCGGTTCATCTGTGGCTAAAAGAAGGGAGCTAAAAGAAGTGTGGCTACAACATCTTTGGTTGCAGAGGTGAACAACAGAGAAACACACAGCAAAAAGATGAGGTGTGAAAAAACAATACAAAGACAGATACAGAATCATCAAACTGTGTGCCTCGAGAAAGACGCTATCACACTGTGTCTCTTCAGCGGATTCACATATGAACGGTTGAAGAGCGGGAATCAAAAAGCTTGAAATCCTACTGCCAACTCGACTGACATGACTTGGTGGCATTCAAACAGGCCTGTTGCCATTTAGTATATACAACTTAGTGTCAATCCTATGAAAGATCAGGCAGTTGATCCAGAGAAACAACATTAAGGCTTAGCTAAAAACAGTTTTTGCAGAATTTTGGATCACTCACAAATTCATTTATACTCGCCATCTCACTAAAGGCTGTAAGAATCATCTTTAATGGCACTTCCATGGTCTAGTGAGCAGTCCTTGGTAAAAACCATTATTTCTATTATCTACATATCTACAGTTTTGATGTCTGTATAAATTAAAGTTCAACATATTTGGATGTACTGAATGTGGTGACATGAGCTTCACTCAAAATGCAGATCGAAACATACCTGGGCTTGTTGATGTAGCATTGGTATGAGTCTTGAGGATCAGCGCTACATAAAGTCATAGTTTGGTTCAGCTCTTTACAAACAGGCCTGACAGTATCAGGACAGACGACACGAGGATGGAAACGGAAAACTCAAGCGTAAAATAAAAACCTGATGTGCACAAGAAAACAGCATCGTCCTCTACGCTGAGACAAGCTAACATCTACTCTCTAGGGGAAACTAAAATCTATAGCTAAAATTGTATATACTTCAAAGATAAAGTCATCAAAAAATTAAGGCAAATTAGCACAAAGGTTTTCAAGTGACAGACGAGAAAATAAAAACAGGAAACATTTAACTTTCTACAAACTAAAAATAAATCACTGACAGAGAATCAAACTCAGGTGACGACAGCAGCATTGGAAAAAAAAGACTTGCAACTCCCTTATCTTTCAGACAAATTATTCTCAGGGATCTTGTTAGTCTGCTATTTGATTGAAATTTGAATTTAGTAACTGCATTGTTCTTTGAACACATAATGTTTCAGAAATCTTCAAGAGGATTCCAGTATTTTTCAACCAGGGCCCTAAGTTTTTAAAAGTTTGTGTGATAATGAATGATACATGCAAAAACCTGCCATGACACAGGGACAGTGGCTACAGTGGAATCTTGAGGGAGAGGTTGATGTTGCCAGACTCTTAGCAAAGACCCAGAAAAACATTTTGAGTCTTTTATAGGTGAAAAAAAACACTTATAGTGGCTATTTCATGGACTGTCGCAGTTGCCCCATAGAATCACATTGTAGCCTCTGCCGGACAGTTCAATTATTCACACACCCATGTTTATAAATGTAGGACCCAGTTGAAAAATACCATAATTCCCCTTTAACTACTCGGGTCTAAAGCATGTTCACTTCATCCCTTCCACACAGGATGAATGGGATGATACCTGAAGGTTCGCCGCAACAAAACCGCTTAAAACCACTTCCCACGGGCTCGGCTGTAATATGGAGCTACATTAAAATAAAGCAGGACGACTATTAGAATGAACAGGTGTCTTTTGATGGAGAATGTTGATGGTGCAAGAAGTTTAAATTGAAATAAATTCATCCAACCATCAGACATTAGTATAATTTTTATGAGCCAAATATTAGAGCTCACCAGTAAAGTCTGTCATTTCGTCTTAAGCGACTGCAGTATTAAATAACTTCATTTCTATAAATGTCTTTCCATGATCTAAAAACCCTAAAAAATAGAACTATAGTTCAAATATAAATAGAATTGATTGATTGTCTTTTGTTCACTTATGAAAGAATGGTTGAATTTTTTTTCAGGAATTAATTCGAATAAACTATAAACAGTTAATGTTCATTATCATCTGTGCGTGAATAGAAATCTCTGCAGCAGTTACAGGAAGAAGTAGCTTTAAACGGTTTGCCTCCCGCGGTTTGACGATGACTCGACACACCAGACCAGCACAAAGTGTTTGTAAGAGTTTACATCTGTACAAATCGCCCTGTCCCTCCCTCACGCTGCTGCAAATAGAATGTCAAACAACAGACATCAGGAAACAAAAATAAAAGTTTGCATATTTTACAAAAAAATAAAAGACACATTGTGTTTCAACTCTTCCTTGAATCACTCTGAAACATACAGAATGCTTTTTTAAAAAATAAGAATTTGTTATATTACGTGCACAAAAATAATGCTCTGTGTCTTTTCCTCCTCTCTTAAGTTTTTTTTGGGTGTTTTTTTTCTTTAAACTTCTTGTTATGTTCCTTTGTCAGTTATCAAAATAGATCTAAGCTTCTCTGAAGAAGATTCCCACCTTTGGTTGATCAACTCTTGAGGACGTGAGCAGAAAAGTCCAATGAAGTAAGTGTTGTGTTTTTTCTAAAAAAAAAAAAAAAAAATACAGACACACACACACAAACACCACACACCCATAGCACACACAGACAGTGTGTGACACACACACACTCATAGCAAACACACACACATACACGCACACATGTTCCTTTTGTTATCCATGTTCAAGTCCAGGTTCTTGGTGATGGTATGGAGCACAGATCTCTTCCAGCTGAATCCTATTTGGTTGGATTCATGTTGTGCCCTCGACCCCACCCTGCTGGAGAACACACAACACAGTATGGATGTGCTGCCAAAACACAGCGCTTTTAGAAAAACAATGTATCCGATGTAATCAGGGTACAGCTATGAATCTGATACACACACACCGGAGCACACTAAGCCATGAATATGTTGTAACGAGGAGCAATAACACCCTGCACAAGCACTGTATATATTATAGACTATAATCACTATATAGTCTCCTGTATATTTGTCATGCCACAGTTCCATAATACACATTTTTTACACAACACAAAGGTTCTCTGACGTAGTGTTTTGTGCAGTTGCTTCATGCTGTGTGCAGCTCTCTTCACCCAACTGTCGCAGTCTCTCACAAACACACAACAAAAGTTAATGACCTGGAGATACAATCCCAAGAGATATTCCTTCCAAGTTTGGTAAAAATCTGTTCATGCATATTTGAATTATTTTGTATATACACACAGACGGGTGGTCAAAAGACAAAATTGCTTAATGATTTGAGCTTCTCACAGCAATTATACAAATAGGACCTTGCAATTAAATATAACAGATTTGGTTAATATACTGGACTAATAATGTCTTGATTTAAAGATTATCTCTCACTGTCAAGTAAAGGTACCTTTAAAACAACAAATCTGCTTCACAATAAACAAGTTAACGCAAGTTTGAGTCTTTAAGACTCAAAGTTTGATCAGATATTCACTACACAACAATGCTTCCATGTTGTGGCAGCAAAAATTACAGAAAATATTAACATTACCTCTAAATTAAATCATGATTGATATGCATGTTCATCTTATAGCTGCATGAACTGATTGGCCACTTGAGAGCAGAGGAACAGCTGAAAAGACAACGCTGACATAGAAACCCCATAAAATATCATTGTGCCTCATAGCAAACACTGACCACTGTACACATTCTACAGACACAGAGCAACAGTCGTGCTCTTATGTTTTTGTTTAGGTTTATCTGAGTATTGTCATTAAAGACAACTACCTGCTGCTGTTGCTTCTGGAAGCAAGTAGAGCTAACTTTGCGGGCTGAAAACTCAAGACAATGAGCTGAAATGACACTAATTTCATTTAATTTTGATTTAAATTCTGGGGTTCCATCACTACAAGCCACCTCTTTCACATAACACTCAGTCATTTGATCTACTAATGAGAATATTTACTGGTGTGGTTTCCTTTCTCATCTTTTCAAGTTTTCAAGTTTTCCTTATTTGATTATGCATCAAAACAGCTTTGCAGTGGTTGGACAGCACATTTATAAATATGGTCCTTCTAGTCATACTACATTTCTAACAATCAGTTTATGAGAATTTCTCCCAATCAGAATACAAAGGGTACTGATTTGTTTCATGCGTGGAGCAGCAGAGTCTGAAACACAGACATCCTCTGACAGGACAGTCTGCCACAGTTTGTGTAATATGACAAACACCTGCAGGTCAATGTCACCGTCCTACCTTAGCTTCACTTGGTGTGTTGGTATGAGTAGTTTGTGTGTTCCCCGGGAGTCTCCATGGCAACCTGTTGCTGTTGACCACCATTCTCCTGAAAAAGACAACTGGTTAAGATAATTGATGATTCATGACCGTGTGCCAGTACAATAGATTTTATCAAAGGTGCAAAGATGACGACGTACTCTATTTTCCCACTGGCCTCCCCTTCAAGTTAGAGACATCTTATGTTTTTGTGTGGAAAAACGTAAGAAGAACCATCTGAAAAGTTTATCGGTGACACAAACTCAGTTCTGCCTCCACACCCTTCATTCTACATCATCCTCCCACTTGACCTCATCCAACCAATCACAGCCTGAGTTCCTGACCTTCTGCTGCCTCTTTCACTTCATAAACCTTTTATTCAGTTATTTTGTTCATCTCACAGGTTCTAGGCCGGACTGCTGAGCTCCACCTTCCAACAATCAACTCAAGACGTCCTCCTGCAGAGCGCTCAGTCAGGAGCACTTGAGCTCAGACTGTGGAGTACCAGTAAAATAATTGTGCATCTCCCTATTATATCACAAGAGGAAATGCACATGATAAACATATAAGTCAAAGACATTTGTAAATCCATTACACACTATTTGCACTGCTAGTTCACAGCTATAAAGCAGCTCCAGTCGCCGGCCTCATGCTTTATATTGAGTCACAGCTAATCACCCATCAAAGATCCAAGGTTTTTAAGCTCAATGTGCATAAGGAGACCAAGTACTACAGACTGTGACTTGTTTCCAATGCAGCAATTCAGTGTCCTGTGCTGGAGGGAACACATCAGGACTACACAGCACACACAGCATAGAGCACAGTGAGTATTAGGAGCAAGTTACCAGGAACTACTCATTCAACCTGTGTCTTTCATCAGATAATAATATGATAAAATTCCAATGTGACATCATTTGGGCTAAAGTGATCAAAACTAAAGTAGACTAACTGGCTCATCCGTACTTAGTATGAGGTCGGCTGAAGAAAAACTAAGAAGGAGAATTGATACAGTAACAAATCAAAAAAACCAACACAGAAACCAGGAGACTGACGAATACAGTTTTTTTTAAGTGTCGTTTGTGCATTTGCAGATGGAAATTTGAAATAAAAATGAAAGGTTGAGATTTGGTTTAAAAAAAAAAAAAAAAAAAAAAAACTTGAATAGTTTATTACACTGCATTTGAAGGGATTGCCAAAGCCACAACACCTTCTTCTACCTGTTATTAAATACCTCCAATCCTCACATGAACCTCCTCTAAGGCTGCCACTCCTTAAAATAAATATGAATGAGAGCTAGCACACTTAATGTATCAGCTTCTTTTGTAGGAAATAAATCCCTCTGGGAATTAACAACTGGGCATCCACTTATTGGAAATATAAAAGTTCAGATTGAGGCTGGCGTCGTACCTCTACTGGGACACTGGAGGGAGGCACTGGGGTGTACTGGGGGATGTAGGTCCCCTGCATAGTTGTGTTGGTCGGAATATACTGTAGAGAAGGCAGAGAGGAAAACAAAAATGGTGTGTGATATTTAACATTTAGAACTAAACTTGAGAACAGTTAGACATTACAATTATCTGCGTTGTGCATTGTGTCTTAGCGTGTGTGTGCGATTGGTACTGACTGTGCCAGTGTTGCCCAGGGACAGGTGGCTTAGCTGCTGGGCGAGAGGTCCCATCATGGACGTGGGTTGAATGGACATAGCGTGATCCATTGTTGGGGTAAGAACTGTACCCTGTGAATACACAGAAACAAACACAAATATAAATGTCACAGTCTAAATTACTATTATTCATCAAATAATAAATGTGCTTTAAATCAGAAATCAAAAAAAATGGCGGCCTCCGTAGAGAGGGTCCCCTCGATGTAAATATAAAGTATTTAAATAAATAAATAAAGGGCATTTTCTTTAAATAGTAAATTACAGTGGAACTTAGTGACTGTGAAGGATAAACAGAGTATGAAGACAGGATATGGTGGATTAGGGAGTGATACTCACAGCTGGCTGCATGAGGTATGACTGATGGTGCATCCAGGATGGGCTGTGCACCTGTAGAGCAGGGAACACAACATGAAATGCTCTTATATTTGATCTGCTGATTCAACATTTCGATCACACCTCTTATGTAAGTTTCCAGACTAGGTTTATTAAAAATAAGAAGGAACCTAGGTAAGTACTTTAAGCGTTTTGTTAACTTATATAATGTGGACTCTAAGGGCTCTGCACAATAAAAGCAACAGAAAATGAATTTCAGTCAGAAAGAAAAACAAATTATGTGAATTATGAGTACAGGGAAATGTCCAACCTGGTAGGATGAAACAGGAGAATGCATGTAGGGTGAGAGGGAAGTCTGGGCGATCATTCGGTTTGGAGCCAGACTGTAGGGTGAGGAGTAGAATCTACCCAACGGACAGAGCACAGAAAGTATGAAGTAAGCCGCACCATGTCAACAATCTCACTAATGCCTCAAAATACCTCAACAAAATGTCTATGTTCTTGTGATGACCAGCAGGGGGCAGGACTGTATTAGAGTTTGAGTTTAGCACTTATCTTCCTGTAGGGCTGGGACTGTTTTCAGTCAGTCCGCGCATACCACTCACCCATTTTGTAAGGCTGTAGGGTCATACGCAAGCGCCATTCCTCCCTGGGAAAACAATACACAGGATTCAGAACCAGTGAGATCATGCACACACCAGTGCAGTCTCTGTATCCACACAGTCAGTGACACACACACACACACACACACACACACACACACACACACACACACACACACAGAGCAACCTGAAAACTTTTGAACACGTTCCTGCTTTAATTTCTAACACGAAATCTTAACACAGAAAGACAGGAAGCTGAAAGATTGTCCATGGTACCGTGTCTCCGTCTCTAGCCCAGGGTCGTCCGTTCTGGAGGTACTTCCCTTGGTTCTGCCTCTTCTTCTGACCTCCGTCTGCAAACTTACATAATAAGGGCTCGGTGGGCACTGTGAAAGCAACAGATCAAACAACAGTGAGTGAAATTAGTGAACAAAAAAACTGATGCTCCGGCACCAACAACAATATTCCTACAATACATTCCACGCACCAGGCACTCCTGGTGGAGTCTTGATGAACTTCCCATTGAAATGCTGAATTATGGCCTCACACTTCTCCGTAGATTCCATCCTGAAATAAAACCCCAGTCAAATTTAATCCTTCTTGTGGAATGCTGTTTACATTGGGTTTGGACGAGCCAGAATTGCACTCAAGCTTCATGCTCAGGTCATTATGGGCTATTATGGTGTAGTTTATTATGTCAGGATGCTATAGACTCAACCTGGCAAATCCAACGCCGCGACTGGTCCCGTTGGCGTCTCTCAGGATACGTGTGGAAATGACCTGGCCGAAGGACTTGAGCATACTCTCCAGCTCTTGCTCATCCATAGACACAGGCAGGTTGGAGATGTAAAGGTTGGTGGGGTCCTGCTCCTGTTGCTGTGCAAGAAGCGGATATAGAAGTTAGTTCATAAACACGTCTCTCTTTTTTACAAATAGAGATGTCATAATACCAGTGATTTTTTATATTTATTAAGATATTTCTGAGCATTTATTGACAGTTCAAATGTGAAATGGGGAGAGAGAATGGGGAAGGCATGCAGCAAAGACCTTGAACTGCACCTGTGGCCACTGCAGGACTCATATGAGGGATTTTTCTTCTCTTTATTCAAAAGAGTGGTCTTTGAGTCTCTGAGCTAGACTTATTGCGAGGTGCGGCAATTTCAACTGTTATTACTACACCTGGCATTTTATTGGTTTGGGAATTTTGACGGACTTGTTGCACTAAAAAATCCTAGCGCAGAAGAAAAAGTCCAGGAGTAGAGGAGGAGTCCGAGAGTAGACACTTCACGTGAGCACAGAAGCTGCGTTAGCACACGAAGAGCTTATGATATTTGAGTATATTTGAGTGTGCGCAGGGATTTGAGTGAAAGGATTACAAAAGGTGAATTTAATAATCAATAAGTCCTGCTCTGACACACAAAAAACCCATAGACTTAAGCCTCCATAGGTGAGGTTCCCTCTAGCTCACCTACCTTTTAGCAGGCTACTGTTTGTTTCATTACAATACAACCAAGTATCTATGCAAAAGCAGCTATTTCACTCCTCTCGGGTGCTGCATGTCAGTGGAGATATGAACCAAAAGTGCTTCTACTGACTTTAAAGACTATTCTTCTTTCACTGCATTTACTGATGGAACATTTCTGCAGCTGAGATTTCTGTGTAGTCAGCATTGGGGTCTGTCTTTGCATCCACACTTACTATCAGTCTTTAATTAATCCTTCATAATATTCATGTCAAGCTTCATTGTACAATACAGATACAATGTTTTAATGCTGGTAGTGCTTTTAAAATAAACTAAAACGTTGAATAATTATTTCTCCATGCTGTGTCACTGCCTACAAATCCACACGCACACTTTAATATACTGACACATTGTGAATGTTTATTTTTCTGCCAGCAGGATTAAGTCACACATCTTGGTGGAACTTAGAGATCTGGATAATTTCAAGTAAATAAAAAGTGAATCAAAGAAAGGATTCAGACTCATTTTATGGCACTACATTGACAGTGAAACTTTGTGTGCGACTGTGCAGAAGCAGACAGGAAGCCAGGCATGAAGTTAAAGAGTTCACAGAGCAACAGGAGCCTGGCAACCAGGAGAAAAGAGGCCGGGCTTAAAAGAGGAGAGGGTAAAACAGAGAGTGAAGGAAGAGGACAGAGCAGAGGGAAGGTGGGAGAAGTGAGTGGCTTTAAGAGCTGGTGTTTTGTACCGAGGGTGGGAACTGACTGGATAGGGGGGGGGGTCTAGACTAATTTGGGTAATGAAAGAGGAGGATGAAAAGAGTAAAGAAAGGAAGAGGATAGAAGAGGGTGTGCTGATTGAGAGGCTCTTCTCTTTAATCAAAGTATCTTTTATCTCTATCATTTTCCTTCTTCCTGACACTGTGATCACTCTGCTAACCACAAATAATTATTTTTTTTTACATGCGCAAAACAACTGATGTAAGTCAGATGTAAGTGGAACAATTCAAGTTATTATAATTTGAGAAAAGACTGATCCAAGTGTTTAACAGGAGAAGACAGCCAGTGTCCAGATGCTGGTACAGAGAGGCACAAGAGCTCAGCCAAATTTAACAGGCATGTTGATCTGACTATGAAGGATTCATAAAAGCATTTATAGTATTTAAGCAGCTGTCATAAACACAGTTATATGTATATGCTATATGTGTAGCCACCTGGCAAGGAGACCTGTGATTGTTGTCATTCTGGGTGCGGCAATACAACCATTATGTAACGCAGTGGCACACTGCAGGAGGACATTAGCCACACAAGACGATTGTTCGAGGATTTATGATAAAGGAACAAATGTAAAAAAATCTCCCTCGCTTTTCTCTTTGTTTACTCTTTGCTTTGGCTAGTAAACACAATATCCTGTTTCACATTCAGACTGAAAATGCTGCTGTGTGTTCAGTGCATTCTTTTGTGCCAGGCCCCAGGTGAGCCCTTGTGAGTCGAGGTGTGTCTCTGTGTGTTTGGCGGATTTGCCTTGTGTGTTGAGCAGCGCGCGAGCTGGGTTTCAACAGGGAGGTGCTGGGACGTCGGAGGGGTTCTATTTTTATCCCTGTCATTGTTCCCCTGCCCCTGCGCACACGGCTCCTCTGGGTCCACGAACTGGAGGCTGGGGTGGCCCAGCTCAGGGACAGAGCGCACTCTTGAGGGAGCAAGGTGTGGCTCGTTGTGTTTGTGAACAACACTGCAGCAGCCATGGTGAAGGTGCAAATAGGTGAGGCTGCACTCTGGAGTTTGATATTAAACAGATTTTTTTATACTATTTTTAGACTGTTTTCTGCGACCTGAAGTAACCCAGTGACTCGGAGGCCGCTTTGTATATTTAAGTTTTTATAGTGGTTATCAACACCTCTGACTGAGCACATGTTGTCTGGGTGAGATGAGGTTTGGTGTCCGGTGGCACTTGCCAGGTATTGAGATACACAGGACTGTGTGGCACTCTTACAGAGGAGGTACAGTGAACTTAGACTCAGGATTTAGTTGCACTTGGACCGGTTCAGATCAACTGGCGGCAAGGATAAGTTACAGTCTTCCAGGGCTGGGCTGAGAGAGACCCTCATGTTACATTGCAGTGGATCTGTTTGGATGCGGGGCAGAGGGAGTGGGCGGGCACAGTGGGGTGGAGCGTATTAAGTGCTGGTGTCAGCCCCAGGCCCAGACGATGGACAATGCCAGCCTATTGTGCCTGTCCCATTGATGGTGGGTGTAGTGGCACCCTCCCCTAGGTTCCCTCAATGGGGAGCCTGAGAGCCAGAGGGATCAGCTTAATGGGCCGACAAGAGTTGCTTTGACTGCAGACGCTCGGACAAAGATCTCTGAACAAGCGCTACAACAGGAGCAGGTTAGCAACATACACAAGCACAGAGACCAGGGTGTGAGGGGAGAGGAGAGCCATGAAGACAAAATGGGAATGAAAAGAAAGTCAGAGAGGACTGGTTGGTTCTGCTGCATTGGCACAGGTTCATCCAATGAAAGTATGATGGAACACACACCTCCCTATAAAACAGAGTTTATCTTGTCCCCTTGCCAAAAGGACACTGACTGGGAATCAGGCCACAGCAGGTAACACTTTTACATGACAGAGAGGGCGAACGTGTGCCAGGGCAGAAAGGGACAAAGAATCTTGAGGGTCAAAATTTAGCTGGGGGCTCGTCACAGATCAATACATTTTAGAGAAAGGTAAGATAAGATCGGATCATTGACTTGAATGCGGTGGGTAAAATTTGCAGGTTAAAGTAGAGGTGGTCATATGAAGAGTTTGCTGGTTCTTACTTTGGCCATCTGAGCCTGGACCCCACTGGACTTCAGAGCTGTAACAGCTTTCTGCGCTGCTGCTGGACTGTCAAAGTCTACAAAGCCATAACCTGTAAAAAAAAAAAAAAAAAAGACAAAAAGACACACTTCTGTTTATACTGCTGTAATGTTTTTCTGTGGTCTATACTTCTGCATAGGATAATTTAAGAGCTCAATCCAAATCCTATGCGTGGTGGTTGTCTATACTGTTGTATGCCATTGTGTCTGTGGGCTGGTTAAGAGTTGGTCTTATTGGTCATGATAATCCCACCTGGGTCAGTTTTAACTGTTTTTTTATTTGGCTGTCGAGCATCACTCTACAATTAGACCACTATAATACTAGTTCACAGATGGGTTTCTACCTCTAGCTGGTGCCTGACCAATTTATTGGTTGGCCCATAAAAACAGCTGATGTGAGCCTTTCACAAACATGTAGGTATTTGCATTCATACTTGACATTTGAAATCTTTTATTTTACAAAATGAACAAAGCAAAAAAGATATGCATTTATGTTTTGGTGGACATCCATTCTGACTGTGCTCAGACGTTTTTCCTAATTTAAGAAAAATACATAACTAGACGTAAGATCTAAATTTGTGAGGTTTATGTACTGGCAGGGGAATTTTTCAAATTTTAGACAGAGCAGTTTTTTGGCTGAGCTGTCTTCTTCAACATGTAGAAGTATTCTTTAAAGAAGTAGCCAAAACCCCACAGCATAAGTTAAAGCAAAACATACTCACCTTTACATTTGTTGGTGGTTTTATCCAAGATGGCCTTGGTTGACACAATCTTGCCATACCTTCACAGGGACACAACAACACAGAGAAGAGGATCATTGACACATGAGGTGACTGTAGGGTTAAGAGAGGAATCTGTTCATACTACATGCATACCAATCCTTCCCCCACTTCCTTGGGCTGCATGGCTACAGGTGTAAACATGAACACTTACTCAATCAACTGTCTTTTTTAATGTCACTGAAAACCCTTCCGCCTGTCTGCCGCTGGATGTTGTTACCACGGTGTTGTTTTTGACAGACAGGAGACAGCACCTCAGGGCCAGAAATAATTTGTTCCAGGTCTGTCTTTAGTAGACAAATAGACTCGCACACAAACGCACACCTACTCCTACATACAGCCCTGCTTATGAATATTTTTAAAAGTCAAAAACTGTCGTTAGCAGGAGTGTCAACTGCGCGTTTGATCCATTTAACTACACACAGATGAAGTAAAATGGTGTGTGAAACATAAGCCAGAAATCGAACCTGGATTTTCAGTCCACAGATGTCGAGAGGAAAACATGACAGAGACAAGGAGAATCAGCAATGCTAATGCTAATGTAACAGTAATGCTGTATCATAAAATATTCAGCGTACGAAAATCACCTTAAAAGCCGTAAATTAGATGTGTTATGTAAGACGTGGAGACTAATGGAATGCAGTGTTATAAGATGGTGCATCAGCACTACAGTATAAGACCTGCCCTTGTCTGGTGCATTAAGCCAGCGAGGGAGGCTGGTGTTCCTCTGTTTGGGCGACATGGCGTCTGGGCGGAATGTACACTGTAACCTGATGCTTCACCCCTACGGTTTGCCTGCCTTCCCACCACGTCCCCCTCTCCCTCTCTCTCTCTCTGTTTTTCCACTGTGGCGTCACAGTGCACTGCTGGGTCCTACGCTCCGGCCTTGTCTCAGTGGACGTTTGCCCGAATGACTCAGTTCTGACTGGACGGTCACAGTGGAGACCTGAGTCACAACTGACTCCAGAGTAAAAACACAGACTGAAATAATGGACTGTGTTTGTGTTTAAATGCTGAGGCCTGGTCCTCTCTTAGGATTCTGTTATGTTCTATCTGAACAATGAATCTTTCTATGAAACACAAATCTAGGTTTATTTCCTCACTCCAGCTACAACAATAGGCTCAAACTGCATGATCTCAAAATTCATCTAATTCTTTGCTGCTAAAGCAAGTGCAGGAGTCACTGGATGTAATTATTGTGAACCTTGAAATAAAAAAAGATATATGTTAAAGGAAACCTAATCACAGAGCACATAAATTATTCATTATTCATTGCTTAATAGCCAGATGACCTTTGCATTGCATATGTTTATAGTTTCCAAATGGCATCTACAGGCTGCACTGACAGAGGCAGGAATACGGACACACTTCTTACAATCTCAGATATACCATCGGCTATTGTCTGACCATGAATTAGCCTCTGGGGGCAATGGCCAATATTTCGGGGCTTCTGGTTTAGACAGCGGATATCCAGGCCAAGACTCTGTCTTCTGTTCTCCATACACTGTTTACAGTTGGACTAGTTTCTTTTATCACACAAATCAAACAATTCTCAACAAAAAAACACAAACAGTGATACTTTTTGTAGGTGTTTTAGGTCCAGACGACATTTTCCACCTCTTTTGCTCTCCACACAGACATTTGACAAACTAGAAAAAGAAACCAGAAGACTTCAGGCCTCAACATGTTGTTCTTTGCCTACAGTTTACTATACTCTTTATAGAGATTGACTATTTATAACTGCAAAAGAGACAATAGAAAATCTCCAAAGTTAAAGAATTTAAAACAAAGCAGGTTTGTTCTTGCAGATTTGAGGCTTAAAATTGATGAACCAACACAAGTTCCTCTTGACTAATAATGGGAATAAAACTGTAACTGTTCACAATTCAAGACCAATACAGGGAATTTGTTGTTCTAATATACCTTTTGAAACCTTTAATATTGTGTAAGACTTATATTATGTCTGACCCNTTCTGGTCTTTTAAGGTAATTAAAATGCAAATTATACTGTATTAGTATATTTAATGTAATTTAATGTAAAATTTACCATCACTTGTCTATGGTGATCAGATGAATGAGTTCACTATGACGTTGAAGTATTTTTCATACTTTCACTGACCTGTCCTGTTTGACTTTAGTGTGTGTTCACTTTCCCAGATCAGAAGCATCACTTCCTGTGCCCCGCAGGAGTTTAGATCTGAAATGCTTTGCAAATGTTGTAAACAATAAAGCTATTATCAACTGAATAATTCTCCCACTCTGATCTTAAAAAAAATCAATAATTCCTAAATACGAGCAAAATGAGCTTTTATTTAATATGTCACAGATTATTGCTTTAATTAAATGCTGCTCTCCACCGAGCAGATTGATTTCCCCTGACTTAAATTGGTGTTTGAGGAAAAATGGGTTTTTACTTCATGCTGCCTTCACTTGAGTTGCCCCAAAAAAATACTAAATAGAAATGCAGCTCTCAGGCAGCTCTGTGAGTAAATTTACGCAGTTAAAAGAAATGGACGGGGTTGAAAATTTGATTGCTCTCTGGGGAGATTCACAAAACATTGGTGCCTCTCTATTTTCTCACCACTCCATGCATGACAAAGAGCAGAGAGAGTGTGTTTACAGATGCAGCTCTTCCTCCTATATTTTAATTTTCATTAAACATCTCTCCCGAGGCCTGGATCTGCACCGTCTGTTTGAGCGAACATTAAGCAGATGGGGAGTGAAGAAGGAGGAGAGCAAAGACAAATAGTGGCGGCCTCGCTCAAATTCATGGCGTCTTTCTTGTGATTGTAATCTGCTGCAAACACTGACAAGCCTAATTACTTTTATATGGTGACACTGCTAGTTACCTAAACATGAGCACAGTGTCGATCCCCTGATTGTCCACCTGTGATTCATCGTTTCTTTTAGTCTATTGGCTTCAGCATGAGATGATCAGCGTAACACAGTCTCATCCAAATCCAATTGGACAATTCATTATAAACATAAATAAGTACTGGTGTTTGCACTGCATTAGCTCACAGTGATAATAAAGGACCTGGGTTGTTTTTCATCTCTTTTTATTGACTCCATTCACATTAGACTTTAATATGGAGTCCCAGAGGTGATAAAATTCACTTATAAATTCAATTATTTCCAGTCGCTGGAAAATGACATGAAAATAAATTGTTGTTTATCTTTTTTCTGTTTTTTGATTTGTAGGTGCAAGCACACATGTATCTCTTTCCAACTAAACCCACGTCCGTGTGCTTTTCATTTAAGCAACATGGAAAATGGGGTGTGGTGTTGAAAGAAAAGAACCTACTGCATAAGAATAGAATAAAACTGACTAAGAGATAGGAAAAATTATCTTTTTTAAATGGTTACGTGTGGCCTTTGGAACTCTGGATGTTTTGTATTGCGTGTTTATATATATATAGATATATAGATATACAGTCCAATGTACAAAATAACAGTACAAATGGTTTGAAAATGACAAAGTAAAATGAAGGACAAAACAAAAACCATGTGTTACATCTTGCTTATCTTGAAGCCAGCAATGGTTTGGTTGCACTGATGAAAACTGGTATTCTTTCTCTGGCCATTGAGGTTGGCAGATTCAAAAAAATACCAAGGAGGAAAACAGATTGCACAAACTATGTGACTTTGGATAAATGTAGAGCAGATTTGTACAGTACAAATACGCCCAAATATTTAGATGTATAGACTATCACTATCTAATACCTGGAAAAGAAGCACATAGGTCTAATCCAATGACTATAAATTCAGATTTTTCAATGGAACTTTTTTGCCAGTGTTCTGCATGTGGCTTTTATCAACTTGTGGTGTCTTGTAAGCCCATGCAGTCTGGGCAAAGTAATATGCACGACATAATAATAAAACCTTGTTTATATCACCATAAACTAAATTAAGGTCTGTAGACTTAAAAACAAAAGGCCTTTGTTTATATTATTATTCTGATTATAACGATGTTAGTCGCTCTCATTAACTCTGCCTCTGAATTACCTGGTTTCAAGCTCTAAACATGCAGAATAAAAAAGTCTTGACTTTTCATTAGGAGCATGAACAAGAAAAAAAAAGCTGCATTTCATGTTTTCTGTAACAGAGGGAGGCACAGAGAGAGTTCAAAGGTCTAATGCAGTGACTGCGTGACCCTCAGCTTACCTCAGCCCCTCTGCAGCAGAACGAGCAGCCCACCACACTGCGCAGGCAACAGGGACTTAAAAGCACGCTCTGACCCATATACAGCCATCTGACATTCTTTCCCAGCAGGCCGTGCTACTCTTTTCCCACTCATTTAAGTTTCCTCTTCAAGGGTAGACCTCCCAGCCACCCCTGAAGCCTCCCACCTCTCCACTTCTCCCCAACACTTCACAATGACTTCTCTGTTAGTCCTCCACTGTGTTTCAAAGACCAACCACAGATTTCAGATTTTTCCTTGATTGTTGGAGCTTTGAAAATGCTTGTGCAACTTAGTCCTGCTCTCCAACATGAACATGATTATCTGATACATACTGTGCACGTTTACTCTAGTGAGCCATTATGTTTCAGAGGCTTCCTCAGAATGGTTCAAATGGAGAAGCAAACACACATTTTAGATAGAAAGCAGCTGCAGTATTGGTCAGAGTATTAAGTCAGGTTTTATTAGTTGTGGTCAAAGCATGTTCAGGGAGACGTGTTGTTACTGTGACTGATCCGTGGGAATTAGAGATGCACGGCCGAAGTTCACAAATCACTTCTGTGGCTCACAGCGTGGCCCTGACCTGCAGCAGTCAAAACCAGTTTGGCTGCTTTATTACTAGGTGTATCTCTCTCTCTCTCAGTGTGTGTGTGTGTGTGTGTGTGTGTGTGTGTGTGTGTGTGTGTGTGTGTGTGTGCGTGCGCACGCGCGCACATGTGTGTTTGTGTACATACTATAGAGGCTGGGCTATTTATCGGGGGGTGATTAAGACTAGTTCACTGCCTTTGAGCCAATTCAGCCTCACTAAAAAAAGGGGAAGGTTAGATCAGGACATGAGAAGGCAACATGCTGTACCCTTCTCTGGCCCCTTCTCTCCGTCTTTACCCCGGCCGGTCTCATCTTTATCCTGACTCTCTGCACTCTCACATTCCTGTGTTTCCCTCGAAGGCTTCAGCATTTTGCTGACAATGTCTTGTTCCAATAATTGTCAAGATTTAATGAAACTGACAATAGTTTAAGTAAATCAGCATTCCTATTCACAAACTGCTTTTCTTTCCCTTCCTGCCTAACCAGCTGGGCTTTTTTCCAAACATATAATTATGGCTTTAAACAATTTAATTTAATGTATCCAACAGATGAGGAGCCACGCTGCAGACACAACAGATGTTATCTGCTCACAAGAGGTTAGTTTTAACATGACTATTTCTGTGATTTGCCCAATCAACACACAATAAAGCAACACACATGAACTATTTAATAAACCCCTGCCAAACTTAACAAAACATTCATTTATCATCTGGAGTAATGGTGGGTTATCAAATAATTTCATATTATGAATCTATGATCTACTTTCAAAGTGCTTAGCAGAGATGGATCCACTGTAGCTTCACAAACTAGCAGAATGATTATCTGATATAGTCATACATGCACTAACAGTATGGGTGATGAGTAGCTGTCGCCAAAGAAAAGACATACAACTGTGGAAATTGTTAGGCTATGCACGCTTAGATGTTGTAATGTTATCTATGAACTTTGTTGGGCTAGGGTATAGGCCCATCCATAGGTAATATGAAAAGTCTATCAACTACCTTAAAAGGAAGCATCCAAAGAAACATCTTTCACTCATGTCGCTACAGCCACAGTTATCTGCATGTCACCAGGACCCGAAACAAATCATCTCAAAAAAACAACAATTGAAAAAATTGTAAAAATACATTGTAAAGAGGGGACTGAGGCGTTCACATCCATCTAGTTTAGGATATGGTGCCGTTCAAAGCTGAGGGCAACATGGGATTTAGACACCGATGCACACGTAGGTTGCACGATAAGATCTGACAGTGTCTTTTACAATATATTGTGTTTTCAATGGAACAAATAGGTAACCCAAGAATACCATCGGGTTTCAAGTTTGGAGATTCTCAACATTTCAGAATCAGGACTCTTGTGGTGGGAAACAGAATAGCAACCATTAATGGCTAGCTCAAAGCCCTACAATGTTCTTGTGGAGGTGAAGGGGCGGAGAGAGCCCCTTCACCTGCACCACTGAGGATCAATCAGCTAACAGCTCTCACCTGTGCTGATTGATCCTCAGTGGTGCAGGTGAAGGTGCTCTCTCCGCCCCTTCACCTCCACAGTTCTATTTAATCAGCTAGCAACATCACATACCACCATGATTGAAACGTTGTTCTCATTTATAGCCAATAGAAGACGCCTATCTCAATGGAATACATTTATGAGCTGCCTTTCTTATCCAGCATGCGCCAACATTAGCTTAGCTTAGCATTAAGACAGGAGGCAGGGGATCTGTTGACAAAACAACTGTTTACCTATCTGCCAAAAATGTCTAATGGTTGAAACAATGTTAAGTCAAAAAAACATGTCAAACGATAATTGTTTAGAGTTGTTGGTTGATTGTTGGTTGTATCAGGCTAGCTGTTTCCCTTTGCTTCCGCTCTTTATGCCAAATTATCCTGCTAATGTTGATAGCCTCACATTATGATTGGTGTCAGTCATCTCATCCAACTTTGCGAGAACGTCAAAAGGTGCATCTCCAAAAAATGACATTCTACACCTTTAAAAATAAGAATTTCTCATTGCAGCTCCCAAAAAGAAATATTTGTTAGTGTGGCTCCGTCTATATTCCGACAATATTCATGGGGGGGGAAAAAAGTTTTAGTTAAAGGAATCACTCACGGCTGGCAGAGTTTGACCAGGTCTTGGTCCGTGGTCCCCGGGTGGAGGCCGCGGATATACAGGTTTGTTTTACTCAGCTGTTCCCCTCCCCCACTGCTGCTGTTGCTGCTACTGTTGGTGTTGGGACTGGGGGGCGCCATCTGGTGGCCAGAGGACACATAGGCCTGCTGACATGAGAAAGAGACATCAGAACAAAATTTTCTCTGCATGAACACAAAGAATTCACTTTTTGAAAACACTCAAATATCAGTAAATACTTGACAAATACTTGTTTATTTTATTTTACTAAAAGCCTGCTAACCTCATAATGTTTAGAGATAGAAGGCAATCCTGCCTAAGACAGATGATTATGTGGGTGCTGCGGAAAGTGATATCATACAGCTCTCATGTCAACACTCACCAATACTGCATTCTGAGGGGAATATGGGGCCTCTTGGCTGCCTACTCCATATAGGGAAAAGGGGCCTCTATGCTTTCTCCATGTTGAGTAACTTCTTTTTACTTTGAGAACCACACAGTAATCTTGTGGTGCATATCAAAAACCAAAAATCTCAAAATTCAATCATACACTACATGATGACAAATCTTATACTGGATAGTTTTCTCTGATTTTTCCTCTGCTGATAGATAATGGTGATACTGCAGATAAACAAATCACTTCTGTTCAACCTGGTATTTTTCTCTTTACAAGCCAACTCTAACATCGTAACACTGATTAACACCGTAATCTGACATTTCCCTCTCAAACTGTGTGTATGATTAACAGTTAACAAGAGCCTGAGATGCAGAAACAGAGTTCAGTTCAGTCCACATGACATACGAAGTCTGTTTATGAAAAAAAAGAGATGAATAAACACAGCGCAGCAGGAATTTATTAAGACGTCTACAGATGAAACGGTATGAAAATGTAAGGTCATAACTGTAGAGACCAAAATTATCGTGGTGATCAGTATTATAGCTGTATAAATAAAATAAGATGAAAGTGTTTAAAACAGTACAGATACACTGAAATCATTTTATTATTATTCTCTCTCTTTCCCTCACACTCACTCACACTCACACACACTGTTCTGTCTTCAGTCTTGCACTTGACAATGTCTCCAAACTCAACTTATTAAGCTGCTTTCAGACATGCACTGAACTCTGCAGATCCTCCATATTTTCTCCAGAGGAGATGCACATGTGAACGCAAATGTCCGAGTGAGAGCCCCGGACACAAAAATGAAAGAAAACCTCCTAATATTGTGCATGTGGATAATTTTTATCACCAATTCCACAACTGATGATTTTAGCTGAGCAAAATATATTTGGGCAACTTAATTACATGATGTGTTATCAAAATCAAATATAGATAGATAGTCTGTAAACCATAGACTGTAAATATGGACCATGCATCTCCATTTCCTCCCACTATCCAGAAAAGACGGTAAGATATTCCAGATACAATTTGGAGCTGAAGATGTAATTTGGAGCCTGAGTGTGTACAGTGGTGATCAGGTGGAGGAGCCGCGATAGCAAGGTCCCACATGCACAACACAGCGGGGGGTTCTCTGCACAGACGCGTTCACAACAGCAGCAAATTCTCCGCAGGATTCAGGTGAGGGTTGGTGAAGCAGACAGAGGCAGTATTTAACTTATTGATTCTGCTGCAGGGATCAAGTGTTTTTGTTAAGAGCACATTGACACCAGCGTCAGCTTTTACCATGACAAACTATGGACATCTACAGCTAAAGCAGCCATAAACTGTGTGGCAGTCAATTAGTCAGTGGGTCAGTAAGAGGAACGTGAAAGGCTGTTGTGAAACAACCCGTGCATCATCTCAGTTCACTACAGGATTGGTTGTCTTTGGAGAAATTTAACCAACTTGTGCATAGCAATGAAAATAAATACATTTTACTGGGTTACATGTGGTTCCATTATCACTTTCACCATAAGGAATACCAGGAACAAATAAAGTGGCTGTTCTCCAAATAAGATTGAGGCAATAAATATCAAGACCTCAGTATAGACTAAGCAAAATACTGTTTATTTACTGTGAGAAGGGTGACTTGAATCACAGTGATCTTACAAGCACATGTTGCGTATGAAGGAATCAGAAGAAACATGCTTTCTGAAGGAGCTCAGCAGGGTCCTCTGAGTGCAGCAGAGGACAATGGGTTAATTTCAGGACAGAGGACAGGGTCACTGATCCACTGGTGTTTAGGGGAAAGCCCAGCAGGATGTCATAGTCACACCAGGACCACCAGCAACATCAACCAATCCGGCTAATTAGTCGTCATCCATAAGCCACGGAGCCCCTTCAGGACAGCCTCAGTGACCTCTATTCTGCCTGAAGCGTGGCAGCAGCCTCAACAACAACGGATTCATTCCTCTGAGGATAATCCTCTCTTCCTCTATCGCTGAAAATACTGTGAAATGTTTGCATGTGTTTGCTCAGTTAAGTAAAATGAAGACAAAACCTGCTCAAAGTAAAACTGAGAGAGAGGAGGCTTTGTGTTCTTTTCTTTCATCTCTTTCATTCCAGGAATATTTACACCATCCTGTCTGTGAGTAACGAGGCAGGAAACAACAGGGTGGCCTGTACATACAAGACAGGACTTAAAATTCAAGACATATTTTACTATAATGGTGTCTTCTATGAACATGTATTGAATGTTTGGCACTTTGTCTCTACTTCCTGAAATCTAAACAGGGATAATAACTATATGTGTGAATCTTTAATATTTAATGATGACCCAACTTGGCTTTTTCATTCTTGCTTGAAATTAGAAAAATCCAGATGAAAATGTTGCACTTAATATGCAAGCTCAACAAGCTAGGACATAGAAAGACAGAATTTGAATTTATTGAACTTGTTTTATCGAGCAACTGTCCGCCCCCTGTAAATTTGAATAATATATTAATACATCATTGATTTCTTTTTTTTTTTTAAAAGCCCTTATTCATTTCTGTGAGTCTACAACTTTTTAGCCAGTGGACATTCTGCAGAACAAATACAGCACAAGTCTAAAGTTTATCTAACTTGTCTCCATGTAATTTATGATTAATATGTTTTGGAGGCTGACAACAGAACAGTAGAGCAGAGACCTTTAATCTCATTCACACACTCTTTTTACCAGAGCCAATTCAAACTCCAGACTAGCAGGAGCACATCATTGCAAACACGCACACACAAACTACACATTAATACAGCCACATCATGGTTGATTGTAAAACAATTTAGCTGCATTACATCGCTAATACTTGTGACCTTTATTATGAAAAGACATTTGAACCTCCTGCTGTTCTTTGTAAATTGAAAAAGTGTGTTTGGTTGTAATCTGAGTAGGTAATCTGTTCTAATAACAGATTACACTGATGTCATTGTAAAGTAATTAGTCAGTAATTACATAAACATCAAAGCTCACTTTAAGTGTAGCATAAATGAGTGCAAAGTAAATGCTCTTAAAGTCAAATTGCCTTCATTAGACTGTCTGGGTATTTTGAACGTTGAATTCAGTGCTACATGTTTCAATTAGTGCTGACTCTGTTCACTGTCCTTAGATTTGAATTCCAGTCATTTAACAACAGTGTTTTTTCAAATGTACAACTTTCTGTCAATAGTTTATAAATAATAATAAGTCACGTACTACTAATCCAGTCAACTTCCCCGATGTGACAGAGAACTCCATTATTTACTCAATCAGTCCTCCCATCATCTCTCAAATGTTCTAGGAGCCCTGATTAATTTAGATGAATCTAATTCTAGGCAAACTGCAGCTGATCACATACAGTTTGCTCTATTCTCTAAAAACTGCACTTCAACAGTCTGTGAAAACTGCTAAATTGATAAAGAAAAAACTGTAACAGAGTTACGTGGCACATTGGAAGGCTTTAACAAAACTGTGCTCATTCACTTTGAATGAGGTGACCTCATGTTTTGCCGAACTGCATTGTGGTTCGCTTGTGCTGCGTACAGCAGAAGCTGTTGTCACACCCACGTTAACGCAGCACATACATGTGAATTCAACGTTATACCCCCAAATAATGTGACCTTAAGGAAAAACATATGGCTTTTAGTGAGAAGAGAAAACACAAAAAGGAAAGAACTAATCCTCACACTAAGAACAGTACCTCTTAAAATTACAACCCCCCCCAAAAAAAGAATTAATTAGTTAAAACATCAGAGGTACAGTCGTGTAACAAAAGGTCACGTTCGTAAATTGCTGTCATAAGAAGCCTTGTACAAAAAAGGCTCAAAAATATCACTGGATATTTTTAGGACCAAAATAAGGATAAGAATCAAAAACATTTCTAAAAATACAAGTTTCTTCTCATCTTGATGTAACTTTAGATCAAGACAGGAAGCGTCTGTCTCAAATACATCATGTTGTTGGTACTAACTTACTTTAATCTGTAAGTATTAAATTAAAATATAATCATTAAAAAGATCATTTTTAAAGCTACACTTTATGTCTTTTCAGACATATAACTGTTTAGAGGACCAGCTTCTTTTTAGACTCGCTCCTTTGCTGTTTTATCTCCGTCTCTCCCTATGGGGCTTCTCCAGTTGACCCCAGGTTGACCCACAGAATTCCATGGATTTCCTGGCTCTTGGGGGGTCTGTGTGCCTTCCCATGTCCTGTCTGCTCCCCTCTGGAGTGGCTGTTTTCTCCTCAGGCAGAAAAGAGCTATGAGCGTCTGACCAGCTGACCGACTTACATGCTAATGCACGGATTTATAGCCTCGCTGAAAGTGGACGAAGCTTCCAGCTTGTATAGAATTACAGTGCCACTTTGTTTTAGGACCAGGAGGGGAAATGATTCATGGATTAAGATTTTTTTTTTTTTTAATCAAATCTCAGAAAGTCTATTTCCTGTCATCATCATTCTGATACGGACAAAAACGTATTCATTAATTTGTGATACTACATATCACCAAATTGTGTCATTTACAGTGGAGCCTGAAAGAAAACGACATAAGGATAACAATATTACAACCAGCTAGGGATCTCTTCAAATATTAGCCGAGGGTTAGGTGAGGACTGTGTGTTCTGGCGTAAGGCAGAAGGCAGGAAATCCTCTGTCTCTGTTCCTGATCTTATCACACAGCCATTTGAATGAAGAGCGCTGCATTCCAACCAGGTGACAGGGACACCAAACTCACGTCCAGACTCGTTCCTGAATCC